CTCTTCACTTCTCCCTCGGTTGTGTGCACTGTGTCCAGCACTTGGTGGTGTACCCCACCTCTCGTCTTTCTGGAGCCCCTCTGTCCTCCTCTGTGAACACTTCTTTGAATCTCTTGTTGAGTTCCTCACATACTTCATGGTCATTTCTTGTTGTCTCTCCTCCTTCCTTCCTTAGCCTGATTACCTGGTCCTTGACTGTTGTTTTCCTCCTGATGTGGCTGTATAACAGTTTCGGGTCAGATTTGGCTTTCGCTGCTATGTCGTTTTCATATTGTCGTTGGGCCTCCTTCTTATCTGTGCATATTCATTCTGGCTCTATGACTGCTCTCCTTATTCTCCTGGTCCTTTGCCTTCTATATTTCTTCCATTCCCTAGCACACTTGGTTTTTGCCTCCCTGCACCTTTGGTGAACCATGGGCTCATCCTGGCTTTTTCATTATTCCTGTTACCCTTGGGTACAAACCTCTCCTCATCTTCCTTGCACATTGTTGCTACATATTCCATCATCTCATTAACTGGCTTCCCTGCCAGTTCTCTGTCCCACTGAACCCCGTTCAGGAAGTTCCTCATTCCCGTGTAGTCCCCTTTCTTGTAGTTTGGCTTCATTCGTCCTGGCCTTCATGCTTCCCCCTCCACTTGTAGCTCTACTGTGTATTCGAAGCTTAAAACCACATGATCGCTGGCCCCAAGGGGTCTTTCATATGTGATGTCCTCAATACCTGCACTACTCAAGGTGAATACTAGGTCCAGTCTTGCTGGTTCATCCTCTCCTCTCTCTCTTGTAGTGTCCCTTACGTGTTGGTACATGAAGTTTTCCAGTACCACCTCCAGCATCTTAGCCCTCCATGTATCTTGGCCCCCATGTGGCTCCAAGTTCTATGTGTGTGTGTGTGTGTGTGTACACACCTAATTTACCTAATTGTAGTTGCAGGGGTCGAGACTCAGCTCCTGGCCCCGCCTCTTCACTGAATGCTACTAGGCCCTCTATCTCCCTGCTCCATGAGCTTTATCATTCCTCGTCTTAAAGCTATGTATGGTACCTGCGCCCACTACATCGCTCGCCAGACTGTTCCACTTCCTGACCACTCTGTAACTGAAGAAATGCTTCCTAACATCCCTGTGCCTCAGCTGAGTCCTGAGTCTTCAACTTCCAAGAGTGACCCCTTGTTTCTGTGTCCCCTCTCTGGAACATCTTGTCTCTGTCCACCTTGTCTATTCCACGCAGTATTCTGTATGTCGTTATCATGTCTCCCCTCACCCTCCTGTCCTCCAGTGTCGTCAAGCCGATTTCCCTTAACCTTTCTTCGTAGGACATTCCCCTTAGGTCTGGAACTAACCTTGTTGCAAACCTTTGCACTTTCTCTAGTGTGTGTGTGTGTGTGTGTGTGTGTGTGTGTGTGTGTGTGTGTGTGTGTGTGTGTGTGTGTGTGTGTGTGTGTGTGTGTGTGTGTGTGTGTGTGTGTGTATGTGTGTGCGTGTGTGTGTGTGTGTGTGTATGTGTGTGCGTGTGTGTTATTGTAGACTATCATGCCTTGTCTTACCTGTGACAGGTTACTTATAAACTAATGCATTAAAAATCTGAATACATTTAGGAAAGCCATGTGACCATATACCTGCAGTTGTAGCCTTGTGATACATCAGTTCAGCTGTAGCCTTGTAAGTCACGTTCAGATGTAGCCTTGTAAGACGCGTGCAGTAGTAGCCTTGTAAGACTCCCAGTTCATTTGCAGCCTCTGTGAGCAGCACAAGGTGAACATATGTGTAGAACAAACCACAGGGAGATAGTAATCTTTAGCGCAAGATCTTTCACACTCTCTTACGTCATCAGGAGCTATACAATGTTGCAACAGAACGACAGACAGAAAAGGGAAATTCTCTGAGGCAGAAGGTATTAATGGCGGCCCATGACAGACTCATAAAACTCACCTCCAATGGGTTCAACCTTCCAGCCATTCCTGATTTGTTTGCATTGTGTTATTACGATTTCCCGAGTACTGGTGACTAGCTATGGGTCCAAGACGAACCCTAAGTTACATTCTCCTACGTGTGTGTTATAAGTGAAATGATAAACTGGTATATACCCAGATGCCATTGTCGTAGCTGTCCATCGAGAGATGGAAATTTTCCTGAGCGAAGATGAAAAGGTGCGAGAAACTGTGTTTTAAGATTAGAAAGAAAAAGCAATGGAAAGTCTGACAGGGAAATACGATTTTTAAAAGATATTATGAATAAAAATACTAATTTTGGATAATTATTATTTTTATTAAAGATTCGCCACTACGCAAGGTCCTAGATGTACTAGAAGACAAAAAGAATGTAGATATAATATATACAGACTTGCAAAGCCTTCGACAAGTGTACCAGGGCGTTGGGCACAAAATGCGTGCTAAAGGAATAAGTAAAAGTTGGTAGATGGATCTATAATTTCTACAAACAGAACACAAAGAGTAAGTAGTCAACAGAGTTAAAGTCTATGAGCTATAAAACTTTTAATAAGACCCCTCCTTGTTCCTCATCCTCGTAGAGAATGAGAACAAGACAAAGAATTCACACACGCAACCGTGTCTTCCTTTGCAGATGAACCGAATCGCACAAAGGTTTATCCATTGAACACTGCAAGGCTCCAGGCAGACATTGCAAATTCTATAGGCTCCAGAGACATGTGCGACACCAAGGCTCCAGAAAGACATTGCAGCACGGCAACCCGGCAGACATTGCAGACCGCAAGGCTCCAGGCGACATTGCGACACTGCAAGCTGCAGGTGACATTGCAGACACTGCAGGCTCCGGCAGACATTGCAGACACTGCAAGGCTCCAGGCAGACATCAACCAAATCTTCAGTGGGCGAGAACAATAGAAGTTCAACGATGAGAATAAAATTACAATATGGTAAACGAGAGAAATTAAACTTCATCAGAGTACAAAAAATTCTGGCCACAAAATAAGCGAAACACCAACGTCAAAGACCTGGGAGTGATCATGTCGGAGGATCTCACCTTCAAGGACCATAACATTGTATCAATCGCATCTGCTAGAAAAATGACAGGATGGATAATGAGAACCTTCAAAACGAGGATGCCAAGCCCATGATGACACTCTTCAGGTCGCTTGTTCTATCTAGGCTGGAATATTGCTGCACACTAACAGCACCTTTCAAGGCAGGTGAAATGCTGACCTAGAAAATGTACAGAGAACCTTCACGGCGCGCATAACGGAGATAAAACACCTCAATTACTGGGAGCGCTTGAGGTTCCTGAACCTGTACTCCCTGAACGCAGGCGGGAGAGATACACGATTATATACACCTGGAAAATCCTAGAGGGACTAGTACCGAACTTGCACACGAAAATCATTCTCCGAAAGCAAAAGACTTGGCAGACGATGCAACATCCCCCCAATTAAAAGCAGGGGTGTCACTAGCACGTTAAGAGACAATACAATAAGTGTCAGGGGCCCGAGACTGTTCAACTGCCTCTCAGCATACATAAGGGGGATTACCAATAGACCCCTGGCTGTCTTCAAGCAGGCACTGGACAGGCACCTAAAGTCGGTACCTGAACAGCCGGGCTGTGGCTCGTACGTTGGATTGCGTGCAGCCAGCAGTAACAGCCTGTTTGATCAGGCTCTGATCCACCAGGAGGCCTGGTCACAGACCGGGCCGCGGGGGCGTTGACCCCCGGAACTCTCTCCAGATAAACTCTCTCCAGGTATTTTCCCTGCCCGGGCCTTTTCCAAGTGGTGGCCCGGCCTTGGCTCCCTGTCTAGGGAGTGTCTGAGACCTAAGTCTCCCATGGGAGGAAGCACAAGTACCCCCTCATATTTGGGACCAACTGTCCCCAGGCCTAGCCACATTCCCCGTCCTCACGGGCTCGTAGGGGGAAGATAGGCCTCTCTGGTCTGCCATCCCCGCCCCAAGGGGGCTAATGGGAATGGCCGTCTTGTGAGCTGCAAGTTCTGGCTCAGGCACCTACCCTACCCCAGAAGGGCTGGGCATGGTGTCGATGATCTGAATAATTAATAACTACTGAATATTTTCTGTAGTACCTAGTTTTTTTTCATTCCTGTTCGTGTTTACAAACTTGAAAATGTTTGTTTGTATCATAAATTGTACTACCTCATACTAATAAAAGAGTAAAATATTGAATATTTGTACGTATACCACCATTCCTGACTTGTCTAGACTAAGTCGTCTTTAAGATTAGGTTAGTCTACCCGAAAAGTCTCGGCATGATAGTGGTTTTCTTTGTTCCAGTCAAATTATGGATGTAAACACTGTAACGTTACTAAAGAAATCAAATTTTATTTTATTTGTGATGTAGTTTCGTGACAGATTCAAGAGACACGATATTCTGAGAGTTTTAGGACAATGTTAGGTGGTCTTGGTTGTTACTCAGTTATAAGGAGAGAGAAAGAGAAATGGGAGATAAGGAGACATTTTGTCCAGTATCTCTGACAGTGGTATCTTCTTATTTTGACAGTGGTATCTTCTTTTTTTGACGGTGGTACCTTCTTTTTTGACAATGGTATCTGGAGGTCCTAGTTCTCACACTCTAGTTTTGTCACTGCACTCCAGCCACTGTGAAAAACACACTTGGAGATCAAGTGGCAAATTTTCTGGGTTAGTTGAGGTCAAATTCGTCAGGAAAAAGGACAGCTGTGTCCTGGAGTGGATCTGGTCACATGATAACCAGCCACTGTAGTGTTTGGCCATCTGACTGAGGCCTTCCACTGGCTTAACTGTCAGTCCAATTAAAAATTAAGTTAGAATTATGACCATAATATTCTACTGAAGTTGACGACGCTAGCCAGAAGTTACGTGGGTTTAGATTAAGTTATAATCTCGGGGAAAGATAACTAACCCAATTTTTTTTCTCTTTCCTCTTTAGGCAGTAATGTAGTGAACAGCATCAACGGAGCCTTCAGCAGCAACCTCAGCACCACGACAAGTAGCAGCAGTAGCAGTAGCAGCAGTAGCAGCAGTAGCAGCAGTCCTGGCTTAATGAAGCCAGCAGAGAACGTCATAAAACTGGAGGAGAATGACGAGAAAAGACTGTTGGACGCTCTTATGAGAGGCTACGACCGTGATGTTAGACCAGTCAGGAACGCCTCTCACCCTATTATTATACAGCTGGGCATCACCCTCACCCAGATCTTTGATATGGTAAGTGTCTTGTTTAATGTTGTTGTTACCACACCTTTGTTAGTGGTAGCTGTTGTTGTTACCGCACCTTTGTTTGTGGTAGCTGTTGTTGTTACCACACCTTTGTTAGTTGTGGCTGTTGTTGCTACCGCACCTTTGTTAGTGGTGGAAGTTGATGTTACCACACCTTTGTTAGTTGTGGCTGTTGTTGCTACCACACCTTTGTTAGTGGTAGCTGTTGTTGTTACCACACCTTTGTTAGTGGTAGCTGTTGTTGTTACCACACCTTTGTTAGTTGTGGCTGTTGTTGCTACCACACCTTTGTTAGTGGTAACTGTTGTTGTTACCACACCTTTGTTAGTGGTAGCTGTTGTTGTTACCACACCTTTGTTAGTGGTGGCTGTTGTTGCTGCCTCACCTATGTTAGTGGTGGCTGTTGTTGTTACCACACCTTTGTTAGTGGTAGCTGTTGTTGTTACCACACCTTTGTTAGTGGTGGCTGTTGTTGCTGCCATACCTTTGTTAATTGTGGCTGTTGTTGCTACCGCACCTTTGTTAGTGGTGGATGTTGTTGTTACCACACCTTCGTTAGTGGTGGCTGTTGTTGTTACCACACCTTTGTTAGTGGTGGCTGTTGTTGCTGCCACACCTTTGTTAGTGGTGGCTGTTGTTGTTACCACACCTTTGTTAGTGGTAGCTGTTGTTGCTGCCACACCTTTGTTAGTTGTGGCTGTTGTTGTACCACCCTTTG